ATATCTAAAAAAAAAAGTCGACTCTTATATTTCCATATCCCCGTTTACCAACTTGAGTGGTTTAACAATTTTACAAGATCTTACACATGATATTGTTGTTGTAATAACATAAAAATTTTCGAAATAGTTGTTGAACTGGCAGACTTATTATTATTATCGTTATTTTTTTGTAGCACCATTTAGTTACTTAAGCGGCAGCTGACAATGGATAGGGAATTATATTTTGTCATCCTTTCGCTAGAAAAGACATTAATCTGCTAAATAGAGCTGACTACTAGTTGAGTATCTGAGCCGTTCTGTGCACACATCGATTAACTCCACTTTTTGAAAAATCTTAAATTTAAATGTCAAAGCACTTGGTATAATCATAACTTATTCCGTTTATAATAACTTTATATAACATACAGTTGTACATAATATTTATAACAACATTATTTATTTGACTTTATAATGTAAATGGAATTTTAAAAAATAATGTGCATTATTTGATCGCATCTTCTTACTTTCTGGTCTCTCTTTATGGAGGTTTGACTACTAAGTAGAAAACAATTTGTTTAGATCCACCGGAAGACAAATTAGCTGTTTTAATTACTCTTCCATACACTTTTAAAAAAATATTTTCAATTTACATAATCGTACATTACAACAACGAAAACAAACAAAGTTTTTATAGTAGCTACAGACTGCTATGTATTATTTATGTTTTAATTTATTAAGCTTTCCAAAATTAAGCTTCTTAAACCGTTCTAGATTTTTCTAATATTATTTACTACATTTTGCATGAAGCTGATTAATATTTTTTATGATAAGTATACGACCAAAACCCAATTTAAAACAAATATTAGATTTTCAAATCCCTTCAGCTAGCGCCGAAAGCGGGCTATTAAAATAAATTTACAAACACCTAATTTTAATAAGTTCAAAGTTCAATACATGCACAGTTTACTGCTAAAGTGTGATAAAACATATTTGTAGCAAAGTCAATTTATTATCAACAAAATTTTCATTTCAGTTATTTCAGCTGTAAGCAAAACAACAAGCGTACGTGTGAAAATAAGAACAATACTAGCAACAAAATTTGTTCACAGCAGCCGGATTGCCACTCCATTGACTGCGTTGCAAATTAGTTTAAAATATTGTGCGTAATATGTTTATCTAAATGCGAATATTTCCAGTTCAACTAACTCAAACAAACACACTTTCTATATCGAAATTCTGAGGTGGGCATAAATGTACAAATACAAAAATTACTTTGTATGTTAAAATGTATATGGATATATATATGTATGTAAATTTTATGAGTAAACGTACTAATGTACATTAGGGTGATCAAAAACATCTAAGCTTACCACTTTATAGGCCTTAAAATATTCTATTTAATTAGAAGAAAATTCTAGAATTTGAAATTTTATTTTTCTTATGTTGATATCGTTTCTTCCAGAAAATGTTGCCCTTCCTTTGTTGTTACACTCAACCCTGGAAAAGGGCATGTTTTTGCCTTCTTCTCCTTTCCTAGCTCAAGCATTTCATAATACTAGTGTTCGCCCAGCGGTTGAAATTCAACCGCTAAAATTAAGGATAGTTTATGTGAATTGAGTCGAGCTGAAATAACATTAGTTGGAATAGCTTAAGTGGAGAGGAGTTTAGCTTAGTACTTAGCATAATATAACATACCATACATAAGATTAAATAACATAACATATGTAGCATAACACACCACCATATAACATCGCACATTCTTCAGTTGTATTTCCCTTTTATCCCTATCACTTTCGTCCTCTCTAACTTTGTCTCTATCGCTTTTAATGTTTATGTTTATGTTTAACTTCACCTTCATGTTCATGTTCATTTCAAATTCATGTTCATGTTCAAGTTCAAGTCCAAGTTCATGTTCATGTTCAAGTTCATGTTCATGTTCATGTTCATGTTCATGTTCATGTTCA